CCACTTCTGTCGGAAACGATAGTCGAAACACCAGCAGTGCTTCCGGACTTACCGGACTTACCAGACCTGCCATCCCAACCAGACGGCGCACAACCACGAGTCCAGCGGGTATCACTTACACGTATAGAGGCTCTCATCAGACCCGCACATACAAAAGCCTTATCTGAGCGGGCTGCCAACGTCCTAGCCAGGGCGAGCAGGGATTCCACCAATGCGGCCTACATTTCCAGGCTGCGAGCATACACTGGTTAGTGTAGCGGAAGGGAGATTGGTCGATACCATCCCTCTGTTGGCCAGGTAGTAGGCTCCTTCGTCCACCGGTTTGACGAAGTGGGTTTGTCCTATGCAGCGATCGTTGGCTACAGGTCGGCATTGTCCCCCACCATTCAAACGTACGGGAACAAGACCGATTGTCTTATTATTAGGAGACTATTTACTGCTTTCCAGACGCTGAGACCCCATACAAGGGAACCGTCCAACTGGGACTTGTCGGCTGTGTTGTCCGCTCTAAGCAGACCGCCCTTTGAACTTCTCCGATCAAGCACCACTCAAATTTTTGACGTGGAAAATAGTCTTTCTACTGGTCCTTGCCTCAGGTAGGCGTCGGCCAGAGCTGGGGGGGCATTGTCCTTCTCGGATGATGTACCGCCATTATGGACAATCAAGTTGTGCTAAAGACACGAACCGGGTTTCTCACCTAGAACCAAATCCCAGGACACGATCCTCACCCGATTGTCATCCCCCAGCTGTCAAATTTTGTCTGCCCAAAGGGTTATGAGGAATTGCTTCTCTACCAGGTTCGAGCACGGAGTTGCCACCAAACCGTACTAGGATTTGGAACGGGGTGCCAGGCACACATCTTTGTGTTATGGCCCAGGCAGGCAGGATTGGCTGGCCTCCCCAACTACCATAACCAGGTGGTTTACTGCGACTGTATTAGAGGTCTAATACTTTATATTCCTCGACACGGAGCTCGCAGAGACACCAAGTACGAGCGCATGAGGTCTGTGCGATAGCTAACTCGCTAGTGCTAGCGTCAGCCCCCCCTCAAACACACATGGAGGGCAGGCTTCTGGAGAGCGCAGAACGTCTTTATCAACTACCATCTAGGAGATACCGAATCCATTGATAAGGGTCTCTCTAGGTTGGGCCCCGTCGTAGCGGGTCAGTCTTGGTTTGCTGACCCATCTCGAACGACCGCTAGGATCCTTGCGCATAGGCAATGAGTCAGTCCGGCATTTTATGCGGACAGATTTCTCTACCATCAGCACTCCCCTGGGAGCTCCCAGGCCTATGTCCTCATGCAGAACTGTTTCGGTCTTTACTTCGAAAGTTTACTACCCCCCAGAATTTGGTTGGGGTCTAGCTTTCTCGGGCACACTGAACCCTGTCACCGTAGCAGCATTTTGGCTCCTTGCTCCGGGGACAGCACAGGCAAGGACAGCACCCTTTTTTGGTCTTAACTAGGGTGTTGAGTTTGTTTTCATCCCGAACTGGGAAAAGACTTTCATCCTTTTTTTCTGTTTGCTCGGAAAAACCCGCCACCTATTGGTGTCTGACTCTGCCTACAGTTCAAAATATGGTAGTCATTTTGACTGACCGGAGTCTATGGTGGG